AATGATGCAAACATACTACCATCCTTCCTGAGAAGATTCTGTGGTGTATCATATTCCACAACTCTGCCTTCACTAAGTACTAATACAGTGTCAGAATCTAAAATGGTGGACATACGATGCTGAAAAAGACATAAAAATATCAAGATATTACTAGTGACTGATGGTAGAAACGTGAATGTAAAACGCCAGTATGCTATTTTTCACATGGTACTTACTGCTATTGTTAGAACCGTTTTATCTGAAAACGCCGTAGCAATAACGGTCTGTAATGTGGCATCCTATTGTGAATAAAAAGAAAGACGTCACAAAAACAGATAACGTCTTTACAATCGCATATACGAATATAACAAAGCTTTGTGTTATTTTTTATGAATGTTCGGTCAAACGCTAGTAACACAAACATGAGACATTAGTATAAAATGCTGACCTATTCCTTCCAGTCTCTACAGAAAACGTGCTATCATATGTGGTCACAACTTACTGTTTGTAAATCAACAGATGCAGTGGCTTCGTCCATGATAAGGATACGGCTTTTTCGCAGGAAGGCCCTAGCTAGGCAAATTAACTGCCTCTGTCCAGTGCTTATATTGTCGCCTCCTTCTGTAACAATCGTATCTGAAACCAGAATGACACTGCGTATAAATGATTGAACTTATGGTGTTAACATAAATCACATCATTCTGTGGACATCATTTAATCAGGGATTATTTCCTACCTAACTGTTCACCCATATCAAGCACGTAGTCTTTCAATTGTGCAATTTCGAGAGCATTCCACAAATCCTGGTCGACATACTTTTGTTCAGGATCTAAATTGAACCTGCAATATACATAAAATTAGCTTATGTTAACACAAACAACTAGGTATTTAAATTGGCTCTCGTATGCCCAGACACACTATTGTTTTTCCTCATATGTATTGCGAAAGTTCAGGGATACACGAGGACACTGCCCGGAAAGGGGTTGCAAGGCATGGCAGAATGCTAGGTTATTGCTATACTAAAGATTTACATTTACATACAATACCTTTCATATTATTAGTGTTCTGTAATTAATATGCAGAACACATGCGCAGCTGAATGCTTATAAACAAATTTGTTCGATCATAAATCATTTACCAAACTACTTTGGTACTATAAATAGCTGCATAAAAATCTTCCGTTCAATAAAAAACATACAATATATCAACCAATACTACTCCATATAAATAGATAACTATGTTCTAATAAAATACATCGATTGATTAATTTGACTAGTCATTCTGGCAGTGGTAACAGCAATGTGATTAGGACAAGGGACACAACACAACTCGATACACTTAATAAGTTCAACTGTCAGTTCTTCTTGTTCTTTATAAATGGGAACGTTTACAGCGACGCGAATATGAGCGGGACTGTATCAGTAAATCATTTTTGTAGATAAAGAATGAGATCAATTGATTATATGTCAAATCAATTGCGGTTATTTAAATATTTAATAACACAGTACGAAGTCATTAGATTCATCAGGATTTGTTTTAGTGTTTTTTAGATTAAATTGCGAGATCATCTATTAGCTGTAATTATGACCACATTCGTGGGATTAACACAATAAACGAAGCAAAACATCATATTGTAGGTATGATGTACTTTCAGCGAAAGACACTTTAGGATATTTGGCATTAGATTTATTGGTTAAATTGTGTCTTACCGTAAAGTGCCACAGAAAAGAACTGGATCTTGTGGAATAATAGACATTCTACGGCGAAGTGTCAATACAGGAATAGTTGATATATCGATACCATCGATAACGATACGACCTGTTTGGGGTATAAAGCACTATTACCAATTAGATCGGGTTGAAATTTTATTTACATTGATTAATTACAAATATATTACAAATAAGTTTACCTTCAATAATATTGATCATCCTTAATAATGTAAGAGTGAGGGACGACTTTCCACTGCCAGTTCGACCACATATACCAATCTTAAGGATACGAAAGAAACGCAACACTATATGAACAGCAGTTAAAAGTAAACACGTAACCAGGTTACTATGTGGTTTGTTACAAGATGTAATAATGTGTTATCAACTCATTTTGAAACATTAGATACACGTTTTTTGACCTGAACAGAAATTCGATTTAAGGTCGTTCTATTAAATATTGTCGATGAAAACCTACCTTTTCGCCAGCTCTGATTTTGACGCTTACATTATTTAATACTGGATCCAAAGTACTTGCATACCGTGCTGTTATATTTTGTATGTTGATGGATCCTTTGTTTGGCCAATTATCTGAAGGATAGACAGAACCTGGACAAAAATATGGAACACATGTAAAATGATCAGTCGGTCGCATGATATGGATGTTTAGAAAGAAAAAAAAAATCATGATTGCGCAGTAAAATGAGTACAAAAATATTATTTGGAAATAACACGTTTATATGCCCTACCTTCGATTTCTTCGGGAATTATGTTCGCATACTCTAAAACGCGCTCAACACCATTAAAGTAAATCAACAAATCGATTAAAAAAAAAACATAGCATTTAACATCGTTGGCCCCTGCAAATACATAACAATAAGTGATTTTGATAAAGCATATGTTATTTTGTTTATTATCGTCCAATTAAACAACTAGTAATATGAAACAACTTTCTGCTATATTCTGACTGAACAACAAATATTCAACAATATTCTGAGATTCAGCACAACATACCGTAGATCATAAAATAGTTGTATGCATCAGAGACATATACGCAAGTACACGCCAATGTTAAGTTTGCCCAACACATGCTAGCTTGCAGCGTGTTGCGATGACTACTGGACAATTCTATATCAGATGAGTAGTGTTACACAAAATGCTACGCAACAGTG